TTGAAGGATTTTGGCAATGTCATCTTGGAGATTCGAATTCGACCCCGCTTCCGGTCCCCTTTGCTGCTGCTGTGGCTGGTAGTTCGGCCGGGGCACAAAGTTGGGTCGAGGTTGTTGCTGCATAAAGTTCGGGCGAGGTGGCTGAAGGGTGTTCGAGTTGTTTGACCACGAAAAGTGTGGGTGGTTCCGCCATCCTGGATTGTACGTGTTGGAATATGGGTCATTGACTGGCCGATTCTGGTAACCTTGTAAAGCACTGGCATCCGCATACTGACCACTTGGGTCCTGCTCGAAAGATGAGGGGCATACTTCGGACTTATGCCCTGGGACTCCACACGCCCCACATGTATCAACAGCAAATGTATTAACCGGCTGAGATCCTCGTGCGGTAAGCAACCTCATCTGGTCAGTAAGCTCAGCTAGCTGTTGGGCCACCATATCATTGCTTGTACCGACCTCCTTCACTACTGCCCTCTTGCCTCAAGTGCTCTTCTGCGACGAGTTTGTACTCATCGTCTCAAAAATCTCAAACATCTCCTCAGCTGTCCTTGCTCCGATATTACCTCTTGCCGCGTTGTCGACCATATACTGCAAGTTCTGGTGGAGGGAATCATAGAAGTAGTTCATGAGTAGCCCTGGGGAGAGGTTGTGATGGGGGCACTGCCGTTGGAGATCCTTGAACCGCTCCCAAGCCTCATGAAGAGACTCATTCGGTAATTGAGCAAACGAGACGATCTGCGACCGGAGCTCCTGAGTCTTCTGATGGGAGTAAAACCTCCCAATGAACTTTGAGTACACCTCGGTCCATGTAGTGAGAGAGCCAGGTGCAAGTGTCATGAACCAGGCCTTGGCCCGGTTCTTCAGTGTCTCTGGAAAGCACCTCAGCTTCAGCTGCTCATCAGTAAGGTCATTGAGAGGGAAAGTGTTGAGAACATTGTAGAATTCCTGGATGAAGTTGAGTGGATCCTCGCTTGGAAGCCCGTGGAATGCCGGCAACTGATTTTAGTGAATCATTTTGAGCTCGTAGTTTCGTGCAGCGTCCGGCAAACGAATGCATGAAGTGACTGGCCCGATAACCGGCTGGGCCAAGGTTCGGAGGGTGTTACGGAGAGCTTGTTGTTGTCGTTCACCCATCTCTAGGTTGCTGCCTTTGGATGATTTTGGAGAATGTTCGTCTTCCCCGTGCGATTCCAGAGTAAGCTCTTCCAGCAGCTCCCTCAGGCTCTCGTTGACAGATTTGTTGATCGAAGATAGCAGTTTGCGTCCACTCCTGGTACGCATACACAAAGACAAGAAACCGTCACGAGCACCAGATAAACAAAATAAAATAAAATGAAATCAAAAGAAAACAAAGAACTAACACCTAACAAATAAAAAGAAAACAAAAAAAAAACACGAAAAATAAACGAATAGGCGCACAATTAAAGTCCTAAACCTTCCCCGGCAACGGCGCCAATTTTGTTGTGAATATTTTTACCGGAGTAGAATCGAAAGATTCGTTCCCCGAGTCGTATCGCAAGGAAGGTTAGCCGGATTCAATTGTACGATTATTCGATCACGAAAAAAAAAAAAAGAAAAATTCCTAAACACTCTATTCAATAATTTTGGGGTTTTAATTATCAGCTAAAGATTTAAAACTATAGCAAGTGAATAAACTCGAATGATTAAAGTGCAAGGGAATCGGGGATAATTGCTTTCGGTTCTAACACAACTACCGGCAATCAATTGCTCGGTTAAGGTACTTGAATCGTTTCTCGTCCAGAGGCTCACTCTCAATAACTCTTCGTAACAAGAGAGTGAACGTACACGATCAACTATCAATTCCAATAACTCATAGACAATACTATTACGAAAAAGTCTACTCTAAACAAGCCTATATCGACCAACGTTTCCCCTCTCGGTTCTACACGTTGATTAATTAGGTTAGAAAGGTGATCAATCTACTAACCCTAGAATAAGANNNNCAAGCCATCATCATCAATCACACAATTGAAAGAAGAAAACTTACGATTAATAATGATAGTTCAATGTTGAATCCAAAAACATCCAATCCAAAGCAAGGAAAGTAGAGTTTTGATCTCCAAAATCCAATCAAAAGAGTAAAAAGATCAAAAGGAATGAGTTTCTAGAGAGAAAAAGTGTAAAAACGAAGTCTGGAATGTGAATAATCCTGTCTAGGTCGAAATTCTGAACTTAAAATCCTGTCCTCAAAAATTGCACCGATCAAGTCGCGAGTCGCGACTTAAGTCGCAAACCGCGACATTCACTTTTGCCGAGTTGCAACATCTCGCGAGTCGCGCGTCTTCAAAAATCTTTATTTTCTGGGGAATGTCGCGATCTAGCTCGCGAGTCGCGACATTGACTCGCGAGTCGCGACTCTCCTCGCGAACAGCTCCTTTTCGTCTCTGTTGGACTCGCGAGTCGTGACATTTTCGCGAGTCGCGACCATCTCGCGAGTCGCGACACTGACTCGCGAGTCGCGAGAAGTCCTGGGCAGCTCTTCAGTCTGTTTTTTTGTCCTTCCTTCAGAATTCTGGGCACGTCAATGGGTATTCTTGATATTCCGACCTAAGCTCAAGCAGTCCCGTTCGCGACCGACACAACCTACCTCCTGAAAACACAAACACGGAAAAAACACGAAGCAAAACACAGCAAAAAGACGCACAAAACGAAACTAAAGAGAAAAACAGAAAAACACAGAATTGGACCAAATAAACCACGAAAATCCTATAAGTGGGGAAAAATAAAGAGAAAATAACCCAAAATAAAGACACAAAAATGGGACAAACACCATACGCACGAACTCCCCAGGCCACGTGCACGGCCAACCACCGATGTTTTTCCTGAACTGTTGAAATCGTTTCATGCTGGTATACTTGGTTATCCTTTTGAACACCTTTCGTTCGAACCTTGAACCGAGAGCTCTTAGTCCCACAAAATGTGTGTAAATCCTTAATCGATGATTCCTGATTAAGGAAAGTAGTAAATGAGTCCCTATGCTTTATTTGAGAGTTTCTCGAGTGGGCAAATTGGGAATGTCGTATTGCTATTGGTCAATCCTTATGTTGCACATAAGGGTTGCGTCCGACTCGTGGAGTCGATATCGTGTGAGTATGAGCATCTGGGATTGTGCTGTATACCGTTTCATATTCCCTGATGGAGACACTCGGTCCTTGATAAAATCGTGAGCAAGTTATCAGTATAACTCGGACACGAGTCTGAAACTTGGCTTCACGTGTCCACCTTGTCGGTGAGATAGTCGGAGTATGCGGGCAATACACCGAATGACCTGTTGAGGTCTTGTGTGTTGTTAGGTACGGAGTTAATTGTTGATACTCACGAGTATAGGCCAAGTGGAACTGGGTCCCTTGCAAGAAGATGTGCGCCTGAGCTCGGGCAGGACTGATCACCCTCCCAGGAAAGAAGGTAAACATATGAGCATAGGGCGAGTCGGATTGAGTCCTGTATGTGAGTGTATGCTTTTTGAGTTTATGGCGATAGGACTCATGCAAGCAGAATCGGATTCCGGAGGAGGTACCCGGGCCTCGTGATTGAAAAATTTCCCGTTCGAGTCTGTCGTTTTCCCTTAGATGCGTGTTCTTTCGTATTTCCGAGGACTGAAATATATTAAGGAGGATAGATTGTAATGCCCCGTTCGATTTATAGAATTTCTCGGAATATTCTATTTATCGAATATTATTTATAAGGTTATATTTATTTTATTAGTCGAGATCGGGGTACTCGATCGTTTTTTTTTTTAAACTTTTGTCGTAGGCGATACGGTTTAATCGCGTGACCCGACTATAATCCGTTTGAATAAGGAACAATTGGGTTATTTATTATTTATTGTCTTTATTATTTTTATTATTATTTAATTGCCTAATTGATT